GTGGCCACGAATACGGGATCAAAAACGTGTCCGTGGATGCGCAGTTGAAACTGATACCTCTGAACACCGGTGTACCCGTGCCCGCTCAGTCAACTCGGGCATATGCCGGAATACCTGCGGGTGCGCCCATGCTGTTCCCTTCAAAAAGAACAGCTAGATGAAGGGATCTGAGGTTCTACCCAGTGAGGAAGCTGCAACTACGCATAATATGGATTGTGCATCTTACTTTAACGATACAGAATATTATCTGTCACCGTCCTGAGGATGGAGTTAACCGGCAATGGTGAAAGTAACCAGACCATGGTCGAATATCCCTGTCGGACGAGCAAAAACCGAGCTAGTGATGGACGGTGCAGGATCTGACTACCATGCACGCGGCTCGCAGACAAACCTGTCCCCAGTCAGTGGTAGGCTAAAAAAGCTCATACACGCTTTCAGGGCTTGCTACAACAGTCATAATTCGACGAGAAGAGAAAGCGGAGCATAAAGCCAGCGCACACAACCAGTCAATACTGGAGAGCTACTATCCCATAGAAACAATGGTTTACATCTTAGCTCATTTAGTTCCTTCCGAAAGCGCAGGATCGCAGAATCTGGGCGGGCATATCACGGACACACTCGAGGCAAACACGTGTCGCAATCGAGAACTTACCAGTTGCATTGGGCCCCAGTCACCGCAGCTAGCAGGGGGGGGCCGAGCAAGCCGGAGCAAGCCGGAAACAGGCCGGCGCGCCGGAACCGTCAGGCAACCGTCATAATTCGACGAGAAGCCTTGTTCTTTGGGAGGGTCAGGTGCCATAGCGTGAAATCCGGTGCAAATTCGGGCGCGTGCTCGGTTCGACGCGCTGTGGATCACTAGGCTACGCTAGGCTACGGCTACTGGGACTTCGTGAGTTAAGCGCCCATCCAGTATACGTGTCCTGCCACACACACAAGCGTCACAACAGAAAATACAGGGTTTCGTTAGGGGTTGTGAGTGAGGCAGACTTAGTGTGCGCTTCTACATGTGTGCTGACGGGCATTTAGAGGGACGTCCTGGAGGCTTCCGCTTGACCACCATGAAGTGCGGGGTAGCATTCTACGTGACATGGGCGGCGTGTATGGGCCTAGTACAGGCAGCATCCAGTCCTTCTGTCAGTGTTTCTCTGAGGACGTCGTGGAAGGCGCCTTCAATTCTTCTCGAAATCATGTACGCGCATCCTACTCGCTGTGCTGGTATGCGCTGACATCATGCCAATCCAGAGAAACCGTCTCACTGGAAAACCCCAGCGCCTTCTTCCCCTTGCTGGACATCCTTACGAACTCACACTCTTCAAATCTCCCAGAGCATGCCACACCCGAGGCAATATACCAATACGCTCTCGAGACCACCGTGTCGGAGGGCCTGCTGAAGGAGCCCTCCGCTAAAGCCCTGGTGGAGATGAACGTCGCCCTTCACGCGGCTACGCCGAAGATTGAGGCATTCTATCAGTACTACCGCGATCGGCACGGGGGTCTAGACGAGGAGTGCCGGTCCTGGGTCGATTGGTATAGCCAGAAAGTACATGATGTAGAGACACTCGCCCACCTCGCGGGGCATGAAACTATTGATCCCAATTCCTCCTCGAACGAGACATCCATACCCGCGCCCTTGTGAGTCGTAGGTTTGTGCTAGCAAGGTGGGTGTCTGATCGTAGTTTCAGCCCTAAACCGAAACTGCTCCCATTCGACCATGTGTATCCGCCACTATCGCATTTGCGTGACCGGCCTCCGCATACGGCCATTTTGTATGGGTCGCCCGACACTCGGAACTTCCGGGAGTTGCATGAATACCTATTGTCCCTGGCTAACGAGTCGACCCCGCGCGTCGAGTACGTGTTCCGCCATAAGCCGCCGTGTAATAAACCGGCGGAAGGCAACGAACAGAGCTATCTATCTGGATATGGCGTCGCCATGGATCTGAAGAAGATGGACTACCTGGCCTTGGACGATAGGCGCGCTGCAGGCCAAGGTAGCGTGTTTCCTCAGTTGCAATAGTTGCTACAGGCCAGTAATGCTAGATGTCGTGCAGACCACGCGGTGGATCCTGACACAGAAAATGCACTCGTCGACGCCATCTCCGTCGACCCGATCCTCAGCCTCCTGCAAGAATACCCAGAGAACAGTACCGCAGATTATACCGCGCAGCTAGACGAGACCGAGCTAATAGGCAAGTCCGCTCCTTACGTGTTTAGGTAGCATACTGATTGTAGCGTAAACTTATTTAATAGAAATCGGCGTCAAAGCGACGCAGCTGATCGTCAACTCATCCGCGCCCCTCGCGACGCTCAAACACCTCGCGCAGAACTTCCCGAAGTACTCGAAGGCGATCGCGCGCCGCGTGGTCATCAACGAGAGCCTCCTCGAGGAGGTGGGTAGTAACCAGCTGAAGGCGCAGCCCGGCGCAAGCATGGTGTGGCTGAATGGGAACCCTGTGCCGGAGCAGGATATGAATCCTTTTGGGTGAGCTAAGCAGCTACGATCGTGCGTGCTGTACTGCTCACTAGACCATAAGGCTGTTGAAGTTGCTCCGAAAAGAACGCACGTTGGTCGGGGCACTCGCGTCGCTGGGATTAACGCCGGCACAGGCAGTGGATCTGCTGACGCACCCCGCGATATCGGCTTCGCAGGGCGGGTCAGACGTCCTCGATGGTATATTCGACGCGAGTGACAGGCCCGAAGGCGGGGATGTCATCGTGTGGTGGAATGACTTGGAGAAGGATGGGAGGTGAGGAGCGCGCCACCGGTCGGCGTTGAGTGCTGAAAGTGCTCGACAGATATGCAAGGTGGAGTCCGACTATCCGCGGTGTAAGGATTTTTCGACACCCGTCGGTGCAGTTGCTTGACGTGCTCTGTATAGATCCTCAGGCCGATTTACCCTGGCTCGTTCCACAATATCAAGCTGAACCTGTGGAATGTCGTACTCGTGGTGGATCTATCACAGTCCAGCAGCTTGAACTTCCTCGTAGGGACGGTCTCGAATATCATCCAGCGGAATTTCCCGTTCCGATTTGGCGTCGTGCCTGTCGTGGAGACTGAAGAGGGTACGTGGACTGACCTATATTGAGCTAATGAATAAGCGGTATGAGCATTCGGGGTAGGGCTGAAGATGGCGCGGTTGTTTTACTGGCTCGTCAAGACGTACGGACGGGCGAAGACTATGGGGTTCATGAGGAAGGTAAGGGCAATTGGATAACGCGAAAGGGTTATGTTCCAAAGTGTCGAGTATAGATATCCCAAGTCCAAGGTCGCCCGCAGTACCTCTCTCCCACCGTCGACTGGCATACTGTGCAGTCCGAACTCCAGGCCCTCATAAAGAGCGAAGAGCCTCCCACGTCAGACTTCGTACCTCCGACCCTTGATGCTATCCTTGAAGGCGACGGTGATGAGCGTGACATACAGGCCTCGAAGGAGTACTGTACACGTCTTGGAGCAACTCTGGGTGCGAGCCCGACTGGGCACGCGTTTGTCAACGGAAAACACTACGACTTGGACGATGTGAGGATGTGCCGTGCTTTTCAAGGTACCGACAGGAAGTTGATTCGGGGTCTTCTTACTAGGACTTCTTGAGGCATATGCAGATCGAGGTCGGGGCACAGCTACAGCACATACAGGAGAAGGTGATTTGAGTGTGACTTTACACTGACAGTTGACCCATATGATACTTTCAGGTGTACATGGGGGAGATTACAGACGAGACGGCAGAGAGCATCTCCACGTATTTCTACGACTTACCGAGTGCTAGCAAGCGCCGGCATCCCCTCATATACCCTGCAGCTTCCGCGCCCAATAAGCCTGGCAGTTTGCAGATCAGGAGCTTGCCAGAAGTGTTCGCGAGAATAGGCAGGCCACTCGGGGTAGAGAGCTACTTGTATCCGCGTCAGTGCTTCAATACGTCGTCAATGAATGTCAACGGCCAACCAAGTTTGACATTTGATTTAGCGGGATCATCACAGCTTGCACTCAGTACATATGTCGTGGCTGATTTCGACACGACCGAGGGCATGGCGTTATTGATGAATGTGCTACAATCTATGGTCAGTGATTACGTTCCAGCTTTATGAGCAACTCTAATGTCACTCGAACAGGATGAAGCTTCTCCTTCACGTCTTACCTTCATCCACAATCCAGCCGTATCAGGAGTCCCGTCTTGGACCGAACGGCCAATGTCGACCCTGCTGTCGCACCTGGTGCAGAACGGTCTTCTTCGCGGAGCTACCCCGGAGAAGCTTTTGAAGTTGCTGGGACTTGCATCGCCTGCTACACAGGACAGACATCCTCAGATTGTCATTTCCAACGAGGACGCATTCGATGACTTAATCGCCGGAATAGGCGCCTCCGACGCAGAAGTACATACCGAGACGTATCGCGACTACGTTAGCTTGAGCCAATCCCTGGTGAAGGAACTAGGTCTACCTGCCGGTGAACAGGCGTTGATCGTGAACGGTCGTGTAAGTACAACAGTCTTTTATCAAAACCATGCCTATCTGAGATGGAATGCAGACGATAGGCCCCTTGAAAGGTGCCCAATTCTTGGCTGACGACTTCAAAGAACTCTACACCTATGAGTTGCGCAAGCGTGTAGAGCCTGTGTCCCAGGCTTTGCAGGAAGTCGTCCCCGATATCACAACATATGATAGGCAAGTTCTCTGGATTTCTGCCCGCACATAATCTCAATGTTTCACCTTTAGGGGCACGTTCACCGATGTCGTGTCTTTGGCTTCTTCCATAATATCCGCGATGCAGATACCAGATCCTAGCGAGTCCGGTCTATTCAATGCAGCATACAGGCCTCGCACTCGCAATTATAGGCTGATGGAGGGAAATTATACGTGAGCAGCGCGCTTTTGCCCCTGGAGTCTCACCTCAAGCAATGTAGCCGGTTCGAAGTTGGAAACGCTGCCACCGCCCTTCATCAATTTGGAGTCATCCTCGACCCGCTGAGTGAGGCAGCCCAAAAGTGGTCAAGCCTTTTCGAGGTAGTTCCGAGCATTCGTGCAGTAGCGTCCAGCTTATGCCTTGTTTTTAGTGGCTATCGAATATTGACGAAGTCTACGTCGAAGTTTACGTGCATCCTGCAGGCTACAGTGACGTGAGTTATTGACCCGCACTGTGACTGTCCTCCCGTTGACCTCAGAGTCACAGATCCCGCTGAAACGCTTCTATCGCTATAATCTGACCCCGAAGTTATCATTTGACCCGGAAGGGTAAGTCGTTCATTCTTCTGACTCTCGTCTTAGTTCATGACATTCCGTTAGCCGCGAAGTTCGTATTGCCACCGTCTTCGAGGATTTACCCTTGGAGCCTATCTATACCCTGGGCATGGATGTTCCCCCAGCCTGGTTGGTAAGGCCCAGAGAAGCCCAGCATGATCTCGATAATATCCAGCTTGGGGCAGTATCAGTGAAAGAATGGTCTCGTGGTGTCCAAGCGGTATTCGACCTCGACCATCTAGTAATCGAGGGTCATGCCCGCGACACGCTCACTAACGCGCCTCCGCGAGGGTTGCAGCTGCAGTTAACGACCGCGAACTCCACCCCCGTGGCTGACACGCTAGTGGTGGCGAACCTAGGATACTTACAGTTCAGGACAAAGCCGGGCGTGTTCCAGCTCGAAATAAGGGAGGGTCGCGGAAGAGAGATATTCAACACAGAAAGTGTCGGCAATGAAGGCTGGGACAGCCCGTCTGTTGACGAAGTGGGCAACGAGGTCACACTGACCAGTTTTGAGGGCTTGACCCTGTATCCGCGGTTCGCCCGCAAGACTGGCATGGAGAGGGAGGATGTCTTGGAAGACTATGATGACCTGCTTGAAGAGTCTGACTCTGATAGTATCGTTCAGAAGGTTTGGACATCGTGAGTGGAAGCTTTGTGACTACGGCCGCACGTATTTGATCATCTTGCGTTTTGAGGATATCCTCTTTCTTTGCGCCGAAGTCGGAAGCACCGAAGACACAGGCCTTAGAGCCCCAGCAAGCGGAAATCAATATCTTCACAGTGGCATCTGGTCTTCTCTATGAGGTGAGTTCTAACCTACCTGACTGCACCTAGCTACTGTGCTGATAATCATTCAGAGATTTTTATCTATCATGGTTCTTAGTGTCCTGCGTAACACGAAGAGTACCGTCAAGTTCTGGTTCATAGAGAACTTCCTATCACCGTCTTTCCTGGTGACTCGACAAGCTTCTGTCTCTTGAATACCTCTGATTGAACACGTGCTCGCGACAGGAATTTATCCCCCATTTTGCTGAAGCGTACGGTTTCCAATACGAACTGGTGACCTACAAGTGGCCTTCGTGGCTCCGCGCGCAGAAAGAGAAGCAGCGAATCATCTGGGCATACAAGATCTTATTCCTTGACGTCCTGTTCCCAATGGACCTCAAGAAAGTCATCTTCGTGGATGCGGACCAGATTGTGAGGACTGATCTGAAAGAGCTTGTCGACTTGGACCTGCATGGCGCTCCCTATGGGTACACACCTATGGGCGACGATAATGTCGATATGGAGGGTTTCAGGTTCTGGAAGACCGGATACTGGAAAGATTTCCTGCAAGGACGACCGTACCATATTAGGTACGCTGGGTCGCCTTCGATGATGAGTCTTTGTCCTGACCCCTGTATAGTGCGTTGTATGTCGTCGACCTAGTCCGTTTCCGTCAGGTACGTTGTTGTGTTTGACATAGCCTATCGTCGCTAACGAAATTCGACATAGATGGCCGCTGGGGTGAGAAATCCGTGGTGTCTCGCACTTTTTAGTACTAAGCCGCAACCCGATTTCAGGATATCTTGCGCGGTCATTATCAGCAACTCTCTGCTGATCCCAATTCTCTCGCGAATTTGGACCAAGATCTTCCGAATAATTTGCAGAGAGAAGTTCCCATAGTACGTCCCGAGACAAAGCCTGCTAGGATATCTGACTCATTCCGTTTAGTTCTCGTTACATGAAGATTGGCTATGGGTACGCACCGTTTTGTCCGTCACTCAGACCCAACCTAACCTAGTCCCCCCCCTCCCATAGTGTGAAACATGGTGTAAGAATATTTGAGGTGCTTTTCTAAGCCTTGGATCTGATTAGTTCCATAGGCAGCAAAGATCGTCTTCATAGAGCGAAGACCATAGATTTGTGTCAGAATCCTCTAACAGTAAGGACCTCCTAATTACGTCTCGCGATATATCTCACGAACGATCATCTGTACTCCAGAAAGAGCCCAAGCTAGCTCGGGCACGTCAGATACCCGAATGGGAAGAGTACGATCAAGAAATATCCAGGTTTGCACGCAAACTCGCGGAGGAGGGCTTGATCCATTCAGAAATTACGGCAGCGGGCGCAGACATCCTCGCTAGCGTGGCTGCTGGTGCAGCAACTCCCGTAGCTGACAGGTCGGAAGCCGCGCAGGACAAGACGGAGGGGAAGTTGCCTGTTCACGAGGAGCTGTGATCAGAGAGTAGCACGCGAGGGTTGGGAACATGTATGTTATCTAAAATTTGTCATAATGAAAGGACTATTCGATCAATTTCCTGGATGCACCGGGTGGAATCATACTGCTATTGCGTTCCACGAGACAAAATGGAGCCGGAAACAGGTCGCTGATACGGATATTGAGGGCTACACAGGTGCAAGCCACATCGCCCGCCTAGCTCAATCGGATAGAGCGTCAGACTCTTACGGCGTCTTTCGACTAGGCAATCTGAAGGCTGCGAGTTCGACCCTCGCGGTGGGCTAGTATCTTTTTCCTCTGTCCATGGCCGTCGCTGGGGAGAGAGTAGGATCGGTCGTCCGAAAAAAAAAACGGTAGGAATGCCACACCGTAGACGGAAGCGCGCGTGGTGGCCACGTGTGTATTTGCCGGCACTGCCACCGTAACTGACCTTTGTCACCGCCACCGCTGCGACCGTGCTGCAATCCATTCTCCACGACACATCTGAAGGCGAATGTTAGCCATGTTCCACTAAACCAGGGACACTATATCATTTTAGAGCAATATCATTGGAAAGACTCGACGTGACTGAGCGATTGGAGAGCATGGACGCGGTTCCAGCGGAATCAGAGAAGCTAGAAGGTATTGACTGGCAGGCTTTACGAGACGTGAGTGCAAAGCCTGGAGGCCTGGGTAAGGAGAGAGAAACACTGTGGTACGTGCAGTAGCTGGGATATGCTTGCGATGCATCGTAATATGTGTTAGGCCGAGGCTGTTACATGTCAATCCGAATGTCATTTCGCATACGAAACCAGAGGGCGTTGAACCTCCCGAGTCACACCGAGACGAGCGACAGATCAAGCTTGACACAGAGCGCAGCTTTGTTCTATATCCCGTAGGTGAACTCTCACTTCTCGCGCGATGTCCGCGCAGCGCTTACAGTACACCACTACCCAGGGGACCCGGGACTTGATAATCGGGAAACATTGCAGGGAGAGCTACACGAGTTACTGGTGTCCATCTTCAGGAAGCGGCGAAAACTGAACTATTTCCAGGTACGTCATTCTACCGTCGCCTTCCGCCCAGCATGACTCACATGCGAATAAGGGTTACCACGATATCATTACAGTTCTCTTCCTTACTCTCCCGAAGGAAGTGCAGTTTGTTTCAGCCGAGAAATTTAGTCTACACCGGTTACGAGACTCGATGGGATCAAGTCTCGAACCCGTCCTCGGGCAACTCAGGTATGCATCGGACAAACTATCGCCTACATCCACTGATTCCCCGCCAGAATATTGCAGAAGCTCATGCGTCTTGCAGATCCTCAATATGCCGCGGTACTTGATGCGTCAGTCACCATTACATTGGCGTGGACTTTTCTGACCAGGCCCGTCCGTGTAGCAACGCCCCATTGCCATACTACGCCCTTTCTAACCTCCTCACTCTGTTCGCCCACGACGTCCCGACCTTGCTCCTAATTCAGCACATTTTCGACTATCTACTGACACGACCTCCAATAGCCTCTGTTTACTTGGCTGCCGCAGTGCGTATTGAACCTCATGATCGGACTCTGACGCGTGTTAACCGATGTCCATAATCAGATCCTTCTATCCCGCAAAGAAGAAGTTTTGTGGCTAGAGCAGGAGGGTGAAGAAGGAATGATGCATTCATTGCTCAGCAGCCTTCCTGAGATATACGAGGAGGGCGATGGGGAAGCTCCCGAGCCATGCGAAGAGCTCAACATAAAAGAAGAGGAGGGAGAGTCGTTACTAGAAGAAACTCGATCCATAACAGCTTCCGAAGTCGAAGATACGGCCAAAGCTCAATCGGAGAAGGGGGCCGAGTCTTGGGAACGGGAACCTGAAAGTCCTCCGGAAAGACCAAGCCATACTTATGAAGAGCCTTCCGAAGCAGACGAGACTCTTCAAGCCATTAGCGAAACGTCCGAAGCTGACTTCTCCCGCGAAGAGACACTGGTAGCCAGCTCTCCTGCTCCCGGGGACTCGAAAGAGATTGACCCTAGCCTTCCGAAAGGCGACTCAGGCGTAGAAGTCAGTACTTGTTCTGCACCTCCAGGTGACCGTGAAGAAACACTTGTTCAGTTGTCGGAAGAAGAGAACCTGAATGAGAAGGAAGTTCCGGAAAGCAGGCCCTCCTCTCCCGCTTCGTCTGTCCAGAGAGTGCGACGAGCGAGGGTATCGTTGACATCGCTGCTGAACCGCGCAGATGATCTATTCTCGTTGTATCCCCCTACGCACCCCGACCTAGCCGTGAGCAAGACCATGGGCCCCCAAAGCGTCATCTTCACCTGGTCGGAAAACCCTTCCGATCTACCCGATGACGACGAAGCCGAGGCCATGGTTCTACACCCTGAGCTCGTCGTCCTCCCTGTCGTCGAGTCAGACGCCGAAGATGAGGAGGAGGAAGAGGGGCACGAGAAGAAGGAGCGCCGGCGTAGGCGGAAGCTGAAGAAGCCACGACGATTCGGCGGGGTCGTTGTGGAGAGGAGGGTTATGGTCGCCGGGGCGGTCTTGGTGCTGGGCGTGGCTATGGCTGTTTATGGGATCCGTGCAGCGCCTGAGGAACCCATGAGCAGACACCATTGGAAGAAATTGGGCAGGTGGGTAGGTGGAGTCTTGGTAGGCGCCAGCGGCCGGATATTGGACGGTATTCGGTTATAGTACAAGTCCGTTCAGTGGAGTAGTAGATGAACGTTCTGAGCGCAGATCTTTTTACCTGCGCTTTCTGTCATTCGAAATACCTCCCCCGTGCGCTACTCCTCCAAGAACATATCAGCATTATAGGATAGCTTGTATTTAGCGCGCCAGTGATATACATTACTGCAAAATGAGGTCTTTTAGACTTCTTCCTTCGCTTTTGTAGACGACAGCTCATCAGCGTACTTCATCAGAGCCTGTGGTGCTGATACGATGTGAACGGATCCAGAAAAATGACAAGTAGGATCCTATCACCAGGTGAATGTAGATATATCCCCAACGTCAAAACACTATTAAAGCTTCGGCGAGCGAAGCCGGATACATATTCTTGACCTTCAAAGCATGCAAGAAAGGTCAACAGGGAGTCAATCTGAGTCGTCCGACAAGTCAAGTTCATCTGCAGGATGAAGTCTAACGTCGTCTGGGCCGTTCCCCTGCCGCTCGATGTCTCCTTCGCACAAGCTCTTGCTGCTGCTACGGATCTGCTCCTGTGTCTGGGAGGCCCTGCTGAAAAGGGAAAAAGTAGAAGCACGGGCCATGGGAGTCCAGTCGTCGTCTGCTGCACCTGGTTCAAGCGCATGTCAATCAAGGTGCTCGTTTACTGCTACGAGGGCGGCAGAGGCTTATCTCAATGACATACTGTGTGTATCAGCCCATCAGTCGTCTCCATCACTGTCAAAGGATAAGCTGCGCTGGCCGTAGAATCTGCGAGACCTGCCGCCCACTCACGACTGCAGACATTTGGTACATGTATATAGCGCCTGCATCCGGAGTTAACAGGGCAGTTGGCCTCGTGCCTGGGAGCTTCACAGGATCTTGACTGGGAGGCATAAATGCCATGGTGTCAGAGAGTGTCATATAAACATATAATTAAGGGGTCGAACAGTGCGTAACAGGCAGAGGCGCACGAGCGTAGATCTATAAAAGACCATGGACAATGACAGGACGTAGAGTAAGCCGGGGTCGTCATCCAGTGCCATGAAGCTTACCACACCCACACGTATCCTCGCGGTGACTATGTTCTTGGCCGACATCGCCGCCGTCCAAGGTGCATACTGCTGCCTCTACAGCTCGGCCGTGTGTAGTCGAGGAATACAACTGCATAGCCGCGAGAGAGAGAAAGCTGCAGCATTGGGCCTTGCCGGCCGCGCCATCTGCTGCTGTTCAGCTCCGACTGAGGATCAATGCCAAGCACGATGCTGACGTGAGTGCAAAAAACCATGTTTCGTGCGCGACATGGGGAACTTACACAGTGTTCTACTCAGGATACTGATAACGCGTGCCTTGCGGCCAGGCACTGGAGTATCCGGAACGGTGTTGCTTGGTAGCTTGGTAGCAGATGTTGTAAATCAGCAAAAGAAATGTGAAAACCGTCGCAGGAATTCCACACGCTGAGCTACTTTTCGTGGCCGAGCGTCGCAGATTTAGTAGATCACAACGATTACCATCTCCAGAACTTCTGTGGCTATTCAAAGACCTGGCGAGATGATTCAGACGGAGCTGAATTAGCTGTGACTCGCTCTACACCTGGGCATCCTGCTGTTTCACGCAGGGTAGCTCTATGTGTGCTCTTCCTACGTAGGCTCTCTCCTCGCCCGATTGCGCAGGTGCTCGATGTTGCGATGTTTGGCCAAGCTGCAGGAACTACGCTGAAGTGGCAAGCTCAAAACATCAAGCTCCAGGTTCAGCTATTGTTCCACAATGAACGAACGCCACAGACTCACATGGAGCCAAAATAAAGAGTCGAACGAGAGAGACGGGAGTCGACGCGCTGAGGCTGAGCGTACCCCACGTGACCGTCTAGCAGAAGTCAACAGCCTGCAGGTAGTAGTACAGTATGCGTGTATGTATTTTACACACTTTCTCAAGGTGCTTAATTCTCAGTTGGATCGGAATTCTACGACCACTTCCCCTGCTGCCACTCGCACTAGTATCCGTGTCGGTGTACCGTATAGTCATCGTAACAGTTGAGTCGAGGCAAATCGCCTTTTCGGGAAATGATGCTGATCAGACCCGGGAACGGTGGACCTCTCATGCTCAGAAATGCCGTTGCGTCTGCAAACAAGGATTACGAACTACATAGGGTGAGGGAAGACGAACGAGCAAGTGAGTGCCAATGAACTATAGTGATATTATCTTCAGAACCAGACGCTCAAGATGCACACAATCGTACCTTCCAATCCTGGCTAGCTGGCTATGATGCTGCATATCCCATACCCTGGCCAACGAGATTCGCAAGCGGGAGCACTCCCGCCTGAGCTATAGCTCCAAATATTTGATGTCGCCGCATACGTCCGAGGAGCCCTCGAGACGGAAACCCTTGATCCTTTCCAACCGTCAGCGCCTCTACCTGAATGGCAGGAACTGAATGCTCTCGAGAGGTCTCTTCGCACACAAAGCTCACTAGCACTGGTGTGCCGGGAATGGAGAACACTTGCGACACCTCTCCTGTATCACATCGTCATCGCGCGAGAGCAGAAAGGTCTTCTGTTCTCGCATTGCACTCTCATCGCAGCTAGCGAGGCCGGTCGCGCTGCTACACTTCGGAGTCACGTCCGGCGACTCTTCTGCTCGCTGGCACGCTATGGATGCGGTCTGACTCTCTAGACTTCGAGCTCGCCCGCACTCTACACTCCAGGACATTCTCGGAGCCTTCATTGCCCTCGAGCAGCTTTCTGTCTGGTACCAAGACTGGCATCAATTCCCGCCAGGTCTAACTCTACCTCTTATGGAGCGCCTGGGGCTGGGGCACATGGCTCATGGCTCATGGTCCGACTCCCTACAGCACCTACGATAAGTTCCTCCTGAACCTATCGTCTATACAAGCGCCCGAAGCTCGATGTCGTGAGGTTATTCGGGAAAGATGAATGGTCAGAGCTGTGTGTTCTGCAGCCCGAGATGTGGGTTAGGTTGCAGGAGCTAGCACGGAGTAGCAGGTTCGGGATCGAGAATGCCTTTGGCGAAGTAGTGAAGTGATTGGGCCGGACTTTTATCAATTAATGTACAATACGAAGTCAGCCTGAGAGGGTGTAATTGAACTTGCTATGCTCCCAGCTAGCTTGCCATACCTGCGTCGATGTGATATCTCTTTGCTCGCCGTGCCTACATCGATGTCGGTGGTTGGAGACACCGGCATTCACCGCCACAGGTGCGCACCCATAGGCTTGATCCTGCGCCTCTTAAAAAAGACTTAGTAGACGAGCAACTGTCTTTAATGGAGGCTTGTACCCGTTTAGTATCAGCGTCGCAGAAGTCCCACCCAGGCTCTCGCGCGTGCTCAAAAAGGCAGGATTCTCCGCCCAAAACGGCAGGTGCACATGGTTGGCATCTGCCGGACCTCGGCACGTATATAGTCTCGACCTCTTCAACGCTTCCTCTACCCTACACCGAGGGTTATACTGCCTATAACGTACGCGCTGAATGCGCAAGAGCGCATAGAACCTCGTGTACACAATTTCTTTAAAGTGGGGGGGTCGAGGCACTGAATGTGGCCCAGTAGAAGCCTTACTGGGATCAAAAATCACGCTGAGAGAACTGTAGCTTTTCAGACTGTCTCCTACTGTCAATGGGGAGTCCCAAAGCTCAGTAGCTCCTCCTGGTACATTATCTACAGGATAAATTACAACTACTAGGTTATAGTACTGCGAGCACAACGGGGAGTCAACAGCACGAAGTTCCTTGCCGTATATTCGGC